AGCAAAAATGTGTTATTAGTGATAGCCTAAGATAGACATGCTGAGGTCAAAAAGATGTGAAATGTTTTTTTAAGAATGGGGAATAAAGGTAATGCACACATGAAAAGCTAAGTAATGAAGTAGTACACAGTAACTATATGCTGTATGTATGTCTTCAAGGGTAAAGTTGCTGGCTCAAAACTTATTGAGCAATTGAGCACAATGAGCTGGGTGCTATAAAAGAGACTGAACATATAAAATGTATAGCCAAGAGCTATAAACAAATTGCAAGTTCTGATTTAGAGGACACTATTAAAGTTGGGAAGCTGCCATTTCAAGAGGATACTGTGTGGGAACAAAACTATATATGACATCCATTCTCTGTCCTACTATCTCTAGAATACCTTCCAAATGCCAACACATCTTCAAATGCAACTTTCTGTTCAGTAAGTTGGGACATTGATAATATAAGAGCATTAATTTTATTGGAATGAATAATAGCAAGTAAATGTTTAATAATGCAAAATCTATTTCCACAAAGACTTTCAACAGAACTAATTATACTTTCAAATATTATTCACAATTGAGCACAAACAGATCTATTTCTTTCTTAAGCTGTTCTCCAGTTAAGGTAAGTTATATGCTTGCATCTTGCAGCAAGGTATATCAAGGTAAGTCAAGATTTCTATGTTCCATGAGCCATTATACCTAATGTAGAATCTGACAACTTTCTCTTTAGCTTGTGTTTTCTTGAAGACATCAGAAACCATGTGTTAAATTAGATAAAGCAGGCTCTTGCATAAAGCATGCACAGAAAGCAATGCATTCAGAACCGAAACTACCAGTCTTCATCAACAATTTGAATCTGACTTCTTCATAGGCACACTTAAAAGCACAATTTGTATCAGTGCAGCCAGCTTCCACTGCAGGACAGATCTAAAATGTTTACCCTCTGAGCTTTACATAGACTGGGTTTTTAGCTCATTTATCTGTTCCTGAATTTCAGTCCACAACAATATCCACCTGCCATACAGTTTTTCCTATTTGTGCTAATAAGACCATATAAGACTAAAGGAAACATTTCCACTTGAATTCTAGGGAAACCAGATCTTTCATTAATCAAATAAAAAGTGGTATATGGCTTTGGGGCAGGACTGACTGCATCTGCTTGAGCCTATTTACTCAACTTATCTTTGATGGCCTTGCTCCACATCTTTTTGCCTTCAGATGTCCATAACCCATAACACATAACACAGACTTCTTAGTAACAGTAACAAAACTGGCTAACTCACTATTTCATAAAGGTTGCTGATTTCCAATTTGTCTGGCTTTTATAATTTGCTTAAAAAGCATTTGCCCATATTATGAATTTCTTCTGTTCTCTGAAGGTATCTAGTTCTGCTATCAATTATATCTTGTTGTTGACGTTACTATACTTTGTATTTAACTGACTGTAAACTGTTACTGAGTCCTTTGTGTTTGAAAGGTGGAGTAGAAATATCGAAATAAAAATCTGGGGATCATTGCAGGGATAGGACGAAGGAGTGATACAACAGTGGTTAACTTACAAGTAGCATTTCATTTAACAGCCTAGGAATGTCATACTCAGAGTTAAGTTTCACATATATCCAACACTAGGGACAGAAAGAAAATGGTCATGTCGTAGATGTTAAACAGATTAATGAGCACCCTGGGGACAGAGACTGGTTAGCTGAGATAATCAAGTGAAGGAAAATCCACCTATAAGACATATGTTACATCAACTGAACTAACTATTGTCCTGTTTTTTCTCAACAACAGAACCAAACTTTGTTGAACATTATCAGAGACATATCTAACCTTTTAGAAGAGTCAATGAATCAGCAAAAGTTTCGTTCTCATGGTTAAAACAGCAGTGTAGAAAGCTGGAGTTTAGGCAGCACAGTCAGTTGCTACACACACAAAGCAGTTTGCTCAGACAGCCACTTCCACGCCAACTACTATTATGCAATCAATAATAGATAATTTGCCTTGCCTACACCAGAAATGCACGGGGAGCAAAAGGGGAGGTTCATGCCTAAGGATGATGTAATTTACAGACAGGATACACACAAGCTGAACTTATCTCAGATATGAGAGGAAGTGCCCTATGATCTGAACAGATGTGCACAGGTGCAGGAGACAATCCATCACTCCGAAGCAATTCTCCAATTCTCAACTGGCACTGCCATGCCAAGTAATCTAAGAGGGATTTTAGCTGCAATCCCATGGAACCGTATCATCGATGCTGCAGAACAACTTCATATAGATTATTCAAGATCACTTATTGTCACTGTACTACCACCAAGTTACAATTGCTAATTTGAATAGTTAGCATATAATTTGCAGATGATCTTATCATTCTCAGAATGACAAATGCAAAGTGTAAGTGCAGCAGTTACATAAAATACAGGAAAAATAAAACGTTAATATAACATTTTTGCCCAAGGCTGCTCAATTCTATAGAATGTAAATACGCTGAATAAGACAATTTCCAGGTAGTTAGCACAATCTTCTTACAAGAGCACTCTGCATGTTATATCTGATGAATTAGATCATGCAGGACATGAAGACTGAAATAACTGACTGAAATATGGTTCTTGTGCACTTGAAAGAATTATGTTAATGACAGATCACATATACCTCAATTAGTACAAGGCTGATTTAGTTCTGTTTTAGAATTGCATTATTTGCAAGATATATTTCCCTCCTTAGTCCTACACATCTTAGCAAACCAATGCTGAAAAACATTCTACAATGCAGGAATGCATTTATTACTCTTAAATAAAAATATTTTGATAGAAAGTTGGACATTTAGTCTCTTTCAAGTACAGTAGACAAGTTAGCTCTTCATCTAGGTTCATTATATTCTGCTAAAAATGTCATCAGAAAGACACTGCAATCAGCAACTGAATCAAAATACTCAGATCAGCTAAGAGGTTAACATTGTCTTGATCAAATAATAATCTCCGAAAAACTGGAAGCTAACCGAAGCTTCTAGTACAGTTTCCTCGTGCTGATACCCCCCAAATGTTTCTGATTACAAATCCCATCAGCCCCAGTAAGCAAAGACAATATCTTTGGGTGATGGGAATTATAGAAAACACAGAGGGCACCAGGTTGGTTTTGACTCTTCTAGACCAATCTGACACGTTTCTTGTTACTGTGCCAAGAATGCAGAGGTCAAGCCTCATATGTATGCAGGCACACACATACAGGGTAAAACAAAAGATTCAGATGATTAAGTCCCAGACCCATCTGGAGAGAGCAATCCAAATTCTTAGCCTACTACTGCAGCATCACTTCTTGAACTTCAGTGGAAAGATTTGGCAGAAACCCATATTGTTATAAGCACAAGCACCAAGCACGCATGCCAAATCTTTTTCAGACAAGTAGAAAGAAGCTGTACGTATGTAAGAGGCTTTACATGGCAAAAATAGGAGCTGTCTAGGTATAACAATCTTCATATCAAAGAGCAATTTAAATGAAACACAGCAAATGCATTTTATAATACTAATTTACTGAGATGCTGTTTTTGGACAAAAATACTTTAGGTGCAAACAAATACACAGATCACTTTCATGTCAAACACAGGAAAGATTGTTGAAGCAAGCAGGTACAAAAGAACTCAGCTTGCAGATCAACAGAATTAAACAAGCCTCGAGGAATGTGGAAAACTACAGCATCTAAAAAGGTTACTATGACACACCTGCTATCACAGCAATGGTTTTCAGCAGTACTGTTCAGATCTATGGGCATTAAAAATTACAGAAAGGTAGTTCTCATACAAAACATGTACATAAGATATTAGCCCAGATCTGGAAATAAAAATGTGGGTCAGTATTTGATTGTTTTACTACCCTACTGCAGAAATGCCAGCATGGGATCTCTCCGCATTTGGGCCTCTCTCCACCCCCATTTATCTATCATGACTACCAAGTATGCTAAGAGAACAGACAGATTAAGGATTTGGAAGAAAGGTTCTCTCCTCCAGCTCTTGCTATCCTCATTATTATATAATTGAAATAGCAGATAAACTCTGCTCCAAAGTACCTGATCAAAGGGTGTGCTCCTAAAAAGCCTACAAGGGGATAAAATGCTCAAGGTATACGTGGAGAGGAAGAGATGGCAGTAAGGAAATGGAGGACAAGGAGGTGGACACAGTGGCAAGGCAAGCAAATCAGGGGAAATTCTTGGAAGACACAAACAAGTTGGCTGGAAAAAAGCAGGGCAAAGGAACTGAAGGGTGGGGTAAGTTACTGAATTTGGGGACAGGGAGAGCAAAGGAAAACAGTATTTTAAAAATCAGCAATCCAAGCATCCTAATTGGATACAACCCACTCATTAGAGCTTTTGAGAGCAGGCAGCATTGTACCAGATGCTGTAGTTTTAAATAAACACAGAGGAAAAAGTATCCACGCTTAACCGAATTATAAAACACCCTTTTCTCAAACGGGCACTCAAGCCGAGTGAGAAAATACAGTAAGATGCGATGCAACGCCAAGAACGTCCAGCCAGGCAGGGATCCTCTTCGGATCGGATCGGCTCTGCCTCCTCCGGCGCTGCGCGGGGGTGCCCCCTGCAGCCAGAGCAGGATCAGGCCGGCAAGGCCACCCGTCGCTCCCGGGGCGCGGGGAGAGCGGCGGCACCGAAGAGGACGGCCGAGGAGCCCCGCACCTGCGGCGCGGAGGGCTCGGTCCAGCCGCCCCCGCCGCGGCATCAGTGGCACGTCGCCCCGAATGACCGGCCCGCGGGTCCGCCCGCCCGCCCGCCCGGGCAGGGATCGGCGCTCCCGCGGCGCCGGGACCATCACGCGCGGCGATGCGGTCTCCGCGGCCCCGAGCACGAGGGGCAGGAGGGCGACGCCGCGCCGGCGGGCGCGAAGGGGTCCGGCCGCCGCCATCGCCGCCCGGCCGCGCCAAGGCGGCGCGAAGGGGCCGCGGCGCCGCGCTGCCTCCGGAGGGCGATCGCTCCCGCCGCCGCCGCCTGACAGCCCGCCTCACCTCGATGTAGCCGGCCAGCGTGGCCGCCGGGGCGGAGAGCCCCACGAGCAGCAGCGGCAGCAGCCACCCCAGCTGCCGGGCACTGCCCGGCGTCCTCGCCGCCGCCATCCTCCCGCTCGGTCGCCGCTCCGTCCTGCGCCGCCGCCGCCCAAGAAACAACTGCCGCGCGAGGCGCCGATTCCGTCACCAGGCGGGCGGGGCCGCGGGGCGTGGGCGGGGCGTGGGCGGGGCTTCTCCGGGCCCGGCCCGGCCCGGCCGACCGGCCGTCTATCAAGCCAGGGAGGCGGGGACGAAGCCTCCGCAGGCGCGAGCGGGGCGGCTCTTCGCAAGGCGAGGGCTGAGATTGAGTCTCCCTCCCTGCGCCCGCCTCCGCCCGTCGCCAGCCAATCGGGGGCGAGAAGGCCGTCCGAGCCTTCTCGTGCCCTCGCACGCTGCGGAATGTTCAAAGCGGGCGGAGGCGCGGAACTTCTGCGCTTGCAAGGAGGCGCGCCGTCCGCCCCGCTCATGTTATTTTACTGTAAAATATGATGCATGGGCATGTTGGGAAATGTAGAACTTATTTCTGACTACATACAGATGGATTGCACCTTTAGTTATCATTAAAGTTGTTTCCTGTCATTGCATGAGGCTTCCTTCCCAGGATGGTGGTAGACCTAAGGATTGTTGCATCGCATCTGTACAACAGCCCTGCTTGATAGTTCAGGTTGTGAAGTACTGCCCAGTCTCTCCCTCTCTCAGTTCCAGCATTACTCAGAAGGTGGGCAAGCAGTTGTCCTCCAGAGCTCCCCTCAGTCTAAGTTCTGGGCACTGCGGTCTCATATTTGGAGGGAGCCTGGTGGCCGCTCCTCAGCCATTTCCCCCACTGCAAAGGCAGTGAGGCAGAGCTGAGGCTGGGTGTGGGTGGGCGAGCAGGCAGGGCTCGGGGACGATTCCTGAGGCAACCCCCTAAGGAGGCTCCTTCCTCGTGACATAAGCGCTGCGCTGGATCAGACCATGGCTCTGTCTGGGCCGGCATTTCGCTTGCACAGTGGCCAGTGGCCTGCAGGAAATCCGCGCAGCAATGCTGTCTCACCCATGTTCCCCTGCAACTAGTCTGCATAGGTATATCGCCTCTGATACAGGGGGCGGCACAGAGCTACTGGAATTAGTAGCTGTTGCTAGCTGAAGAGAGCCAGTGTGGCGTAGTGGTTAAGAGCATGGGACTGGGACTCAGGCGATCCGGGTTCGAGTCCCCACTCAGCCATGGAGCCAATGAAGGGGTGACTTTGGGCCAGTCACAGACTCTCAGACCAGCCTACCTCACAGGGTTGTTGTGGTGGGGATAAGATGGAGGAGGAGAATGATGTAAGCTGCCTTGAGCCCTTTGTAGGAAAAGGGCAGGATATAAATCAAAAAATAAATAAATAAAATAAAGCGTAGCCTTCCCCAGCATCCTCAGATGTGTTGGACTGCAATGCCCAGTCATCATGGCCAATGGCTGGAATGGTTTTTGTGCTGGATGGGGATTATGGGAGTTGCATCCCACATCTGGAAGATTTTGGGTTGCAGAAGGCTGTGCTACACCATTGAAGGGGTAGCCATACCTGTGGCACTAGAGACTAGACTGAAGGGGGTTGAAGAAACATCCTTAGGACTGCCTAACCCTAATCCTAGCCCTAATCACACCAAGGAGTAAGCCTTTCCAAATGCAGCAGGGCTGCCTTCTGAGTAAATTCTGCATTGGATTGTGCTGTGAAAGGGCAAAAGGGCCATGCAGCTTGTCTGGATCTGAACTGACTTCCTTATCTATGGATCATATAAGCAAGAAATAAATCTACTTCATATATTTGTGACGCTTACTCCTATGTAGGCCTGAGTGGAATAACAGCTTTCCTTCTGCACATGGTGTATAGCTACTAGGCGGGTCCTTGAGTCCACATTTTTAGAACTGTAACAACAGTGTACATATAGCCATCATGCTCCAAGGGTCAGTAGCAATACGACACAAATCTTGCCAATGCAGTTCCAAGGCTGAAAGAAAAGGGCTGCTCTGAAGCTCCTTGTTGAATCCATGCCAGCCGTGAAATTTGAACTGGAAGCAATGGATTTCTCAAGAAGCTGCACAGTTCCTAATTGTACGAGTAGTTTGGTAATTAAGCATGCTGCCTTGGGAGGCCACGGATTCTTATTTTTATTGGAGATTTTCAGGGCATCTGCTTTAAGCACAAAAGTTTCTGCTTTAACAAGCAGTTGGGGTAAATGGACCATTGTGTCTCTTGCAGCTTTGCAACTCTATTATACTTTCCACTGGCAACTTAATCCCAAGTATTTGTACGAGCATATGAGCCTGTAGCACCATTAGAATGTCACTGAAATACCAGGCTAATGTCATGTTTTGCAGCACTGCCCTGACACAGCAGTCAGAACACCTATCCTATCCTAAGCATTTATGTGTTGGTGCCGTAGGATTTAGACACAATCTTTCAGCAGAGAGATTGAAGGGTTTATGATGATACTTGCCAGCTGACTAGAAGCCTGGCCTAGCCCAGCCTGTTCCTGTGCTTTTCACAGCATCTCCGTCTGCAGAGAATAGCAAACCATCGTGCTTGCTTCCATGCAGCGAAAAGCACAGCCTCTTGCAAGTGTGGTGAACTGGGCTAGCTAGCAGCACAGAATACCCACTTATCGCTTATTGAACCCTTGCGCACGGCACACCTACTTGCTAACTACTTTATCTGAAAGGTACAGGGTATACCCCGACCCTCTCAGAGTCCCGCAAGCATGACCATGCGAAACAAAAAAAACAGGAACAAGGTGGCGATGGCTATGCACAAGAAGCACGAGCGCAAGGTCAGGCAGGGGAGATAACATGTCTAAGAGGCCTGCAAGACCCGGATACCAGCACGATTAGGAGTGGTCAGCAGAAACTGTGGCAAGAGGCGTGCCGAAGACATACGTTAGTACTTTTCCAGAGAGAAAGAAATGCTATAAAAAGGCTTGTAATACCATACATAGGGACCGTACTTTAGTAAAGTGTTGGTCCCTGCGCAGGTAAAATAAAGGAGCTTCTCCTCCTCTCCACTGTGGTCTTGTGGTCTGTTTGCCAAGGACCGACAAGGCGTCCTTTGGGATATAACATGTGGCAGATAAAGCAGCTATTTTAATGGCACAGGAGCAAGGACTGGTAAAACTTGGCAACCCCATTTGTACTCCAGTCACTTATGGTAATAAGCTTATGCTTCTAGAAGGATGTTGCTCTTAGCTGTAAACCTATTAAACAGCACTGAGAATTTTACAGCAAGAGTGATAAGCTGGTGCTTAATAGCATTTGAATGCATAGTACATTTGAAGTTTCCAAGGAATTTTGCTCACATTAGCTCAATCCTTTTTGCAGCGTGTGGTTAGAGGCAGGCCAGTGCTGTTAGCCACCTGTTATAGACAGTTGATGCTTAAACTAATTTGTGGTGGCTGGGAGATGTAATTTGGGAAGTTCCTGAGTTCAAAGGTCACATTCCAAAGTCTACATTCCTGTGCATATTTACTTGGAATCAGGACTGACTGATCTCAGGGTTGGATGCTTTTAAGTAAGCATGGACAGAATTGGGCTGCAGGTATCTTTATTGTAAGTAGTCAAAAGAATTGGAGCATTCAAAGTGTCACATGCTGCAGCCACTTATGCATGCTCAAGAAGAGACTAAAGAGGACTCAGATTTCCATAAAATGTGCATAGATTAATTCATATGTAAGATTTAAGTAGAAATACGATACCAACTCACCATGGGGGGGGAGACTGATTAGATCAGCTGTATACCTTCAATCAGCTACTCAAATGCTAACTGTTGATGGGCAACTTTAGGACCCATCATTATCTTTAATCCGGGCTTGGACTGGACAGCCCTCCAAATAAAGGATTGCCTTTTGCAAAGTAGGACACTCCTGCACACTGCGTTCAGCCAAGGATAAATGCAGTTGACCTAAATGGGATTCACCCCTGAATAAACACATTTAGGACTGTACTGTGAAACATTGTTTTGGAATTTGAAGAAGATGAAGTCCCTTTGACAAGATTAATCTGTTGCTTCAAAAACACTGATCTGAACCGTAGTTTTCCCAGGCGATTCATGACACAGTTACCCACAGATTGTTCTTCAGATGCAGTTTCCAAGCTGTTCTTTGCTGAGTTGATCAATAACATGAATTGCAGACAGTGCTGCTAGCCACTTCAAACTCAGCATTTCTCCCTTTACGATCACCCAGGCCAAAGTACAAGGAAGGGCACCTGGTGCTGTGGTATGGAGAAGAACAGCCGACTAGCGCAACAGTTTGCAATTGAGAGTACAGATTGCAAAACTGGAGCTGGAATAGATAGAATTTGGAAGTGAAGGGCATCTAAAGAGAAATCAGGTGCTACTTTGCTAAGCGATTGACATAGAGGTCCACCTGCAGCTGGACATTGAGGTGCTGCTTGATCGACACATTCGTAGTAGCAAAATTGGAGTTTGTTAGTGTCCCTTCACCCCAAGTCCCCCTGATGTGCTGGACAGTGTGCCTGTTTGGGGATGCTGGGATTTGTAGGCCAACACTTTGGATGCCTGACCTAGATCAACAAGGAGCTGTACCTTATGGCTTCTCCCAACTGCTCATGTGTAAATGATACATGCATTTGCAAACGTGTATTTGTAAGATTCATATTTTGGTTTTGGTACACATGCAACTGCAACCTGTAATGAAGTGGGTTCATCGAGATGGTATTTCCACACAGGAGTGTTCCATTGTGTTATGTTGTAAATAAAGCAACATGGAGCTGTTGTAATACTCGGCTTTCCTTTCCCAGATCTGAAACTTTCCAAGCCTTTTCATCTCCTTCTGAGTTCAGTTGAAAGGTATTGAGCATTAAAGTCTCAAACATCTATGACTCGTTTCTCTGCGGGAATGACTGTGCTGGTATGCTATCATCACTCTCCTGCCATTGGTGGAAATTTACAACGGTGGAGATTAGAGAACCAGTCTTCCCAGTTGTGACTCCACAATTGTGGAATTCTCTTACCAGGGAATTCCACTAAGCAGTGGCTAGAAACCCAGTTTATCCCACAAGGCTGCTTTGGATTCATTTTAATTGAGTTCTCATTTTTAATTCTGCACTGCATTTTTCTCG